CCCCCCATCTCAGATAAAGCCAACAGAAGCGGTCATACCTTCGCCAAATGTTGCTTGACATCAGAAAGAGTCGCAGGGAGCGGCGAGTGTAATGCTGATAAACGTCGTACGTGGATTGCAAGCAAGCAGACATCGTCGGCCACACACGAACCTCTCATGTAATGGCTGTCTGCTTAATTAGAGCTTTGAGCCCTCCTTGACTGTGGGTAGCAGGTCGCAGATGGGAAGCGCACGTGTCAGCGGTTGCTCTCCTCGAACGATACCGGCGCCTAGCTTCGAAACCAGCCAAAAGTGCTAGTAGTCTCTTTTTGCCTGGTGCGCTCATGCTTCTCCACATCAACCCCGGCTCCGAACTTCGACACCATTGTCGAAGCTGCTGGATCTCGGTACACATACGGAGTGAAGGAAGACGAAAGACTCACCTTGGCCAATCTTGAGCGGCTTGCCTTGCTTCTCCATGACCTTCTCCGAGTGGTAGGACCAGAATGCGTCAGTGGCATCCTTGCCACAATTTCGCAGAAGAATCTTCTTGCCACCCGGGTGCTGTAAATTTCCGGAATGGATGATCGTAGGACAGCGAAGGGGAGTCGGGAAACGGTGGGTAAATGAGTAAAGGGGATGTGTCGACAAGGCGGGGACAACGTGGGTGAAGATTCGCACCAGGAATGCACGAAGACGATGTCGTGAAGGATCGAACAAAGGGTAGGCAAGGGAAGTCAGTCGCGTTGAACTCGACTTGCTATAAAGCAACAGTGGCAGCAATGGGAACTCACGTCATCGAGGAAGTCAGTGACATCGTAGACTTGACCGTCAACGACGACCCATGCTGACTTTTCTGATGGTGGCGATTCCGATAACGGAGATACACGAGGAGAGTGAAAGCATCAGCCATGCTGGCCGTCATCAATGGTTCTTTCGATATGCGGATTCAGCAATGTTGGTGATAACACGCGCACGCTTCTACGTCACATGACTTATGAAACAGGAGGACGGCCGGCTCGCCTCGGGTAGCTTTTATTGGAGGGCCCTTGCCGTCTTTTGTGACTTGTGAGCGGCACGATGTTGCCTTGAGCTAAGGCAATGGATGCCAATTGAATATCGACCATTGTTCGCCCTTCGCAGCTATGACCCGGTCGACACCAGCCTTTCGTTCTGCAATACACTCACCGCTGGCGTGCTTCTTGACCTCCTCGGCATCGAAGACCTTGGACATTTTGACTTTCTGAACGGATGTCCGTGTAAATTGTGGGGAGGTCTCGGGGGATTTCGCACAGAGCCTGTATAAAATTTAATTCCAGAGCGAAGGGGAAGTAGGGGGAGACCATAGGTGGTAGGATGGTTGAGCAATGAGGTTGTGCTCGACGTTGGTTGAGAACACCTGTCAACATGCTGGCCACAAACCCCGAAGATCGGGCGGGTTGTTCCGGATTGAGCGGGCACAAAAGCAGGCACTAGATAGCACACACCGGGCGCTAAGCGATACATAGCCGGTACGGCCATTGGCGGGCGAATGTGGGCACAAGGCCAAAGCGCTGCTAACTGTTGAGCCCGCCGAAACAGAGACGACCTCGATGACCGAGAACAGCAGGCAGCCAATGAGAGGCACCGCTTTCGTCACAATCCCTTACTCTCAGATGGCATGATGGCAAATGACTATCATCTTCTCGAAGCTGCTCGTCTCAAGCAAGTGGGAGTTGCTATGAATGAACAGTAACAATGCAAATCGCTGTCACAAGGGTGCGGAACAGGTCTGTGAGGATGTGGCGAAGATGTGTATCTATGAATGCGCAAGGAAATGTTGCACTATGTTCGGCTGCTGCTGCTGCTGCTGTGTACCTGCCCCTCATTTGGCGCCTATTTAAGTAGCGTGACGTACAGGGCGGCAGCAAGGATGATCGACGCACCAAGTGCGCTGAGCGGCTCCAGCGGGATGTGCAGCAGGCAGACCTGGAAAAAGGTGGCGAAGACAACTTGCAGGTATACCGCGCTAGCGGCTCTGCCCGCCTTTTCGCGTTGCAGAGCCATTCCGGCGAGAAACTGAGCCAAGAAACCAAAGATGCCGATGAAGAAGAGCAGCACGCCCCACCGTAACTCCTGCGGAGCGACGATCTTTTCCCCTGTGATCAACATGAAGCAGCCGGCGACGAGGGTTGACCAAAGGCTGAAGTAGGAGACACTGTGCAGCGCTGATGCGCGCGTGCCGATGCACCGGATCGTCGCGTAAGCTCCTGCAGACCCGATGACACCGAGCAGTGCCACACTGGCAAGTCACAAAATGCAAATAGAGGTGCGTCAGTTTTATGCCCGTATAAGGTGGAGAGGGGGCTCATGTACTCACCCCACAGCCAAGACCCTCTCCGCTTCCGTGACGTCAGCTGGTTCCTTGGACCCACCGTGCGTCGGCACGGTGCCGTTTGTAGCCAACTGTGCAAAGCCTTCTGATGCACTCGCCACAAGGGCTAGTACCTCGCCTGCCACTGCCATCCCAGCCGCAAGCACCGACGCGCCGCTGTTTGCCAGTAGAATGTCGCTTCTATTCGGCAAGGCTAGGTTTCCTGATACTGATGTTGCTGCCAGCCCGCTCCACGACTCTGGCTCGATGGGTTGGTCGAGGTCAGAGTCCGCTGCAGGCCCGAAAAGAAATTTCGGTCTTGCGATCAGCGCAACGCCGACGAGGCTGACGAGACCCGCTATCGCTTCTTGGAATGTAAAAGATTCTTTCAAGAAGATGTATCCAGCAATGCTGGTCGCTAGCGGGCTGAGGAAGGTAATGACCGTCGCATCTGCCAGGGATAGATACTGAAGGCTGAAGTAGAGGCCAAACTGGGAGCATATTCGAAGGAGTTCGAAATCCAGTTAGCAATTGCTTGCAGGACGGCATCTTTCTAAGTGCCCTTCGATGCCTACCAAGCCAAAGAACCCAAAGAAACCTCGCAGCATTAGCTAAGTGCGTCAAGTCAAGGAGTTGGATCAGCACGAATTTCAGGTCGGGAATATGTGTCTTTTGAAGCCTCACTAAGTGTCGCACCGCTGGCGGCCCTAATATTGGGTTCTTGTCGCCCGTTGCGCAAAGGTAAGTGACACACGCGACCCAGGTGATGCTCATGCGTATCAAAATGATCTCGTTCGCGGAGACTTTGGATGAAGTATCGAGCGAATTAAGAACCTTGAAGAAGAACGACATGCAACTGATAAAGACCTGCGCCAAGGCGATGAGCAGGAGGCCTTGGTTTCGAAGCAGCCATTTGTTCATCCCCCTTTGCACCTTCTTCTTGCGATGGTTTTTAGGCCGCAAAGGCCTGCCAGCGTTCGGCTGCCTCGGGAACGGCACGCCTTGTGGCACGCTTTCTTGGCCATGTGCATCGTCGTCATCGTCTGTCGCTATTGATGTTCCCGTTTCCTCTATGTCATCTTCATCATGACAATCAGGCGCCATACGCCTCCCTTCTCTTTCATTGCTAGTAAATGTGGGGCTGAGCAATGCTCGCGTTTCCTCGTCGTGCGAGAGCCGTGTGTCGGGCTCGTACGTTTGCCCTGTGCTGGACGAGGACGGTTGCATCGGCGTGGACGTCGACGTTCCGACCGTGCGCGAGGTCCTTTGCTTACTTGCAGCGGCAGGCTGCACTGCGTTGCTGTTCGATGGTGTATTCATTGTAATTTTGCTTAGGCAGAAGTCAGGCACAGCTAGAGGTAGCGCACGCTGATGGCTTGAGGCGCGGGGAGAGCGTGGGCTAGGTCTGGCTACTCAATGAGAGCACCTAATGAGAATGCGCTGGCGTCACGTGGTCATGTAGCAGGTGCTGCACTGTACGTTTCGTCTAACGTGCTTGGGGAAAGCCAGCCACCAGCTTGCTAGGATGCCTCAACTAGATGGTCAACTGGAAACGAGATTGAATGTATCTTGTCAACATGGTGTTTGCATTTTGCGTGACTCGAGGTCATCAGCGTGGGGTGGAGCAACCACGGCTGCCACACTGAGAGAGCGGAGAGGGTCCTTCGGCCACTTTAGTCCAGAGGAAACAATCCCCGCCAATTTGGGTTCGATGGACTCATATGTATGCTACTCTTCACTCCTTTGCACACCCGTCACCACGCGGACATTCTCGAGCCTATGCATTGATTTCAGTTCGTACATGTGACAAAAGCTCAGCCGGCGGCTCGCCGACGCCAGGATGCCAGTGCAATCAGCGCGGTGTCCTAAAGCAGCGCCAGGCAAGTGCCTCATGTTCTTATTATCTCATTCCACATTGCTCGTTCCCTTATGAGTCCATCCTGTTCCGGTAAAGAATTGTTAGATCCGATGTCGAGCCTCCTGCCAGCGGCACCCAAGAAAGCTCTACACTCACTCGCTGATGCATTCCCAACCACCTTTGAGGTTCTCCTTCCAGAGGGTGATCTTGCCGTCGCCGCAGCTGACGGCGAGAACATTCCCGCTAACGCTCCAGCTGACCCTCCAGACCGTGTCGGGGAACTTGCCTGCCGATGTCGGTGTATCTCCTCCAGTTGATGCTGCTCCTTGTGGCGCACTCCCTGACGTCGGGTTGAGCGCAACTTTTGTCCACGGCGAGGTCAACGTGTCTTGCGTCCAGATGAGCACAGTTCGGTCCTACGAAGGAGACATGGCACGTCAGAACTCTGGCGCATGGGGGAGCAAAGGCCTGATTAGAAGCCATACCTGAGAAGCGGTCGCGAGGTGAGACCGCGGAAGACCAATGTTAGGGGCAAAGGCAACATCTCGGACCCAGTCGCTGTGCCCGACGAGCTGCTCGATATCCACCCATCTGTTCTGCTCTTGGCTACATGACGCGATGGGGCCCAGTTCAGCAGACTTGTACCTGTGTCGGATCGCCGAGCATGTGAAAGACTCACTTAAATTCCCAAAGCTTTACCGAATTGTCGCAGCCGGCGCTGGCGAATCTCCTCACGCTTGGGAGAGGACTTGCTGCACCTTGTGCCCCGGGTCCAGCTGGTTGCTGCGCAGCGATGAGAGAGCCAGGCACAGCTGCCGGCGCCCAAGAGACGGCATTGCAGCCGATAGGGTGCGCAGCGACCATGTCGACCGCCCAGGTGCCGTCGTCTACCAGATATTTTCGAGATCATGTGTGAGAGATTGCTTGCCATTAGCGTGCTCCCCTAAATGACAGACTCACTGTTGAAGCTCAGCACAGAGATGTTGCCGTCAGAAGAGGCGCAAGCAAGAATCGCTCCAAGCTCATGCGGAGCCCAAGCGATTGAGTTGACTGGAGTGTCGGCGCAGCAACCATCAGCGTGAAGGGCTTACCCCCACATCCGGATAAGGATAGATCAAGGCAGACTCACCACTAGCTGTATGCATGGCATGCTCTTTGATTTTCTGCCAGCCTGATTGTGTACCATAGCCCCCACGCGCTCCATATGGCCCTTGGCTGCTAGCATTCGTGCTCGCTCCACCCTCGTCCTTCCAAATAATGACTTTACCATCGTACGAGCACGATGCCAGGATAGAGCCAAACTTGGGGTGAGCCCACGCAACCTGCCAGACTGGACCTTCGTGCCCCCTCAGCGTCTCTCCCTGCCCTGCAGCTGCTCCATCTACAACGTCGAAGACTTTGATCGTCCGGTCTGAGGAGCAAGTCGCGAGCCGGCGGCCGTAGAAGTCCAACTGGGCATCATGCTATTTTGAGATGGAGCGTATCCAGCCCACCGAGTCAGCGTTTTCGCGCTCGTTCTACAACCTTCACTGATAGCCTCTGATACTTACAATCATGTCCTCATGGAGCGTCTCGATCGCCTTGGGATCTGTGCTGGCCGCAGCATTGGCGCCAGTTGCTCGCGCCTGGACGCGGTCGAGCAGTGAAGGTCAGATTGCGTGCACCGCTACTGCCTGGTGCATCCAGATCGGCCTGCTTACCATTTTATCTATTCGTGTCTTTACTATCCTGCTCTCGTATCGTCAGATTGACGTTGTACACCTGGAGTTCATTCGCGGCTATGCTCTACATCTGCTTGTTAAATCAACACAAGACGAGCTTTAAGAAGGTGTACTTCGAAGTCCAACCTCCATCGACGAGGCATGGCGCGGGCGAGCGGCGGCGCCGCACTCTTCGCCCTCATCTCAATTATGTACTTGCGGTAGAGTGTGCGCGTGAGGCATATCTTTCCCCTAACAGGAAGAACACACCCACCCCGCACAGAGCACCATCAAGTCCATCATACGACTTCAGCAGACCGTAGATCGCAATCGATATAGCCATAACCAAAGACGGTTGTCGTCACGTGCAGGTCAGGGAGCAGTAGAGTCCATGCATACGGCAGTCTGCATGCTTTTCTCCCGAGATGAGCACTTCACTCGCAGTCAACCTCCTCGGCGGAGCGGCACTGCGAGCGAGTATGTTGGCGTGGGGCCACTACCAAGACGCGCACACGTCCTTACGTTTCGAGGATGTCGACTACTCGGTATTCACCGATGCGGCACGGCTCGTCGTAAGAGGATGTCCCCTGCAGAAGGCGCTTGCGGTCGATGCAGCAGATGCGATGATCGAGGAGAATGCGTACGGCCCAAACCTGCCGTGCGCACGTGGTATGGTGCCCATCATCGCTCGCTTCGTCTTGCAGCAAGATCCACGGTCGTGGAGCTCGGAAGAGCAGGAAAAGGCGGCACAAGATACTGCATTTCGGTGGGCGCTATTTGTCTACAAGCTCCTGGGCCCTCTCCTCAAAACACTGTCAAGTCTTGGTGATCCGTACGCCCGGCCCACCTACCGGTACACTCCCTTTCTCGCCGTCCTCCTCTCGCCCATATACTCCATCCGTGCAGCACCCCGTGATTTGGGTAAATGCTTTTTCCTGATTGCAGATCTGGCATGCGGTGTCCTCATGTGGCAGCTTGTCCAAGGGCGCCGGCGCACTCGAGTATCAGCGAAATATGCCGCGCGGATCGTCTCGTTGCTATGGTTCTTCAACCCCATGCCCATGCAGATCGCAGCGCGCGGATCCGCAGAGAGTATACTCGGATTCCTCGTCTTGCTCTTTCTCTACCTTTTCCTGCAAAACAACCCGGAACTCCCGCCAGAAGGGTTAGCAGCCGCGCAAGACCAGCTTGCCAAAGCTCACGGTGCAGCTCAGGACCATGACCCGAGACCCGTTGCTGAGGCGGCGGAGCCACTATCGGAGTGGTCACTTACAGGTCTAGCTGCGCCTATCGTGCTCGCGATAGCAGTACATTTCAAGATCTATCCGATCGTATACGCTGCACCGATCGTCGCCCACCTCTTCGCGAGCACAGGAGGGGCCAAGCTGCCGATCATCCGTTTCACTATCGTGGCGGGCTTTGCATTCGCTATCATCAACCTCGTCGCATATGGGCTGTAAGTAGAGCCTTCCTCGGCCAGGCGTTTCCTTCGAGTACTGTCGTTGACGTTTCTGTTCTGCTCCTCGTCCAATCGCAGCTGGGGTACTCCATTTATCGAGCACAGCTTTCTCTATCACATTCATCGCAAGGACCATCGGCACAACTTCTCTGCGTTCTTCCTGCCGACATACCTCTCCACCGTACCATCAACCTCGGGCCAGATCGCTGGTAATGCGCTGTCCAAGCTGCTCCCAGCAGAAATCCTCACGCTGCTCACCTCTCCGCTCGCAAGCTTCGTCCCGCAGCTGCTGCTTGTCGCGTACCTCGGCTTCAGCATCGGCAGCAAGGACCTCGTCGCCGCGTTCTTTGCGCAGACGATGGCGTTCGTGCACTGGAACAAGGTCATCACCAGCCAGTATTTCCTCTGGTACTTATGGCTCCTACCCGTCCTACTCCCCGACTTAGACTTCGGCGTCCTTAATGGGCTTGTGACCTTGGGTGGGTGGATCAGCTCACAGGCGCTGTGGCTGTCACAAGCCTACCTGCTGGAAAATAAAGCACAGGACAACTACTTGCGCGTCTGGCTTGCCGGCCTCGTGTTCCTCACCGTGCAAGCGTGGGTGCTCGTGTCTTGTGTAAAGGCATGGGGACGAGTGAGGTTGCAAGATGCTGCCATGACGCAGATGACAGCCGCAAAAGCAGCATCCAGTGTACAATAATATATAGAAACCAATGCAAACATTAATGCGCAACAAACTAATGATAGCTCTCAGAGAGCTCTGCAGCGTGTTGTGACGACTACAATCCAAGCATTTGGCATGTGATATGAGAAAGCTGGGGGCATGTGAGACCGCCTATTGGCCACCACGCAAACGGAGCACCAAATGAAGTGTAGACTCCTTCTGGATGTTGTAGTCTGAAAGAGTGCGACCATCTTCGAGCTGCTTGCCGGCAAAGATCAAGCGTTGCTGGTCAGGCGGGATGCCCTC